TCTACCCAGCCTAATGTGCATGTTTTATAAACATATGCGTATGTATTTGTAACCATTGGAGAAAATACTGCACCCATTTACTTTACATTGTCTTATGTTTGTTCTCATTACAGGTGTCTGGTATAATAGTGACCATCGCGATTGGGTTCGTATTGCTGGCCGATAGTACCCACTCCACCCTGCTAAGGGTCTGAGGCCGTTATCGTTGCGAAAGTCATCATTTGGCGCCAGCAGCAGCAGCAGCGGTAGCATCAACGCTTGTCCACCCCCACCACCTACACCGCACAGCGCCAGCAGCTCTTGCACTGCTACTAACACCACCACTACCATCAACAACAACAACAAAACAAAAAGCACCATCACAGTTGCAGGCACTATCAATCATCTCATCAATACTAATCGCACAAATGATATTATAAAAGGTGGCAGTAAAACAGCAGCAGCAGCATCCACATCCCACAGAGTAGACGCAACAACCACTCCGCCAGCAGCAACTTGCAGTTCACCGTGCAATCAATTGCAGGTGAACTATTTTGAATTCCCACCAAATCTCGCTTTATTGGCAACCGGTTCCACCCCATCGCTGGCGACAACAACAGCTGTAGCGTTAGCCGCATCCACCACAAGCACCCCTGCCCTCACATCCGCCACAAATTCACCCAAAAATTTCAACCAGCCACAACATCACTCACACTATTACCAACCACATTTGCACCAGCACCAACACCAACACCACCAGCAAAAGAGCCAGCAGCACCACCCCCAACCAAACAAAATTATTCAGCATCAACAACAATCGCGACAACATTATTCACACTTTTCAAAACAAGCACAAGCTGAATTTGAGGCTGAATTTAGCAGAGAAGCTGAAGAGCTACTAAGTTTGTCAACAGCAGCAAATAAGGGGGCAGTAATACCCGTTTTAGCTAAGCCACCAGCAAATAAAATGGGACGACGCGAAATAAAAAGGTCCAACACCAGCGGTTCCACTATAAAATCATACGATGGTGGCAGCGGTAAGTTGAAAAAAAATATATACTTTTTTTAGGATAAAAAGGTAAAAACCTGCAACTCTGTATTAAGAAATATTCTTACAAAATAGTTAACACAAATTTAAACTTAAGTAAATGTATGCAGCTATGTAACAGTTTTGCATTAGCCCTCTCAGGACTATAAGCATTGAAGGCTGAGTAATCAAAATCTGATGTAAAAAAAGAAATGTATGTCAAAAAATAACTTTTTTTTTTTTAATAATGCTCATGCATTTAACATGACAAGTAATATTTTTATTTTTTCTCCAAAATAGTCTTATTTCTGAGATTGGTGATTTCTTTTCTAATTCGGTTAGCATATTTTTTTCCTTAAAAAAAACTTTTTTTTTTCTAGAATATGGGTTTTCGTAAAAATCTATTTTTTCTTAAAAAATGTCTTAAAAATTATTTATTGTAAAAAATTCCGATTTCCCAAAAAAAATTGAGTTATGATTTTTTTTTTAATTTTGACAAAAAAAATCCCCAGCTTAAAATATTCCAGTAGTCCCCGTCTTCGTGAATGCACGAAACACTGTTTTAAAAGTAGACGGCCAGTCGATCATCCGTTTATACATACATATGTATCTACTTATTACAAATAACACTGGTTTTCAGCAAAAATATTTCATGAATAACTCAATCCACTTATGATGTAGTAGAGAGGGACGATGTCGTTACGTTTGAGGAACAGTTTAGTCTGTAAGCTATTTTTTTTTCTACGGATAGGTTTTCGAGATATTTCCAACTTACCGTAATTCAGCTAAAAAAGTTTTTCCACTTAATCATGTACATCTACGAACCAATTGAATAACCTTAATAAGAAGTATTCCAAACGAAATCTTACGAAATTCTCCATAAGCTGCATATAAATCACTTTGCGACAGGCTACTTTTTGAGAAATTAATGAATAATTCAAATTTTTTTATGAATAACTATGTAAAAATGGGGATTTATTTTATCAGCAAAGAGTAACGTTAATACAATAATAATTGTGATATTTTTTAGAAGCCAGTTTCCTCTCTTGGGGTCGTTTTCTCAAGTAACCTGCAACTTTTAAGCGCACTTTATATTTAAAGTTTGCATTAAAAACCAAGAAAGATACATAAAGCCATGATAACAAATAAGATGGTAGAACCGTAGAGAGGAATTTATCAAATTCTTGACGTTTGCAAGCAATTTAGTTTTAAAGTTTTACACACAAACTCATACACACATTCTCATTTTGAATCTCAAACAACAACAACTGCGAACAATTCCTTTTTACAAGCTTTTTTTTGCTATCAATTTTATATGATTTTAAAATGTTGACACTTTAAAAAAAATCATAGCCGACGAATTGAGAGAACGGTTTTACCTTACTATGGTTTTATCGTGTTAAAAACCGATAATATAAATGCTTAAATTTAGACATAGGCTACTTCAGAAATCGGCCCTTACTGTGTGCAAATTAACACACCGTGTTAATTAAATTAAGCTCTATTTGTTTACTTTTACATAACATATGTGTGTCGGAGAGCATCGATCCTTTGCAACGCCCAAAAATCAGCGTTTGTGCCCCTTAGTTGAACGAGCGTTCCAAAAGATGGTTTTCAATCGCTTCTTTTTATAAAAATGTTTTACATAAAATTACATATATATTTTGAAATTTTGTGAAAAAAATTAAAAAACAATGACACTTTAGTGACAAATTGATTTGACAAAAATTAAATCGGCTGATTTAAGGGGTTGTGATCTGGGCTTGGCATCCGCAACGTCAAAAAAATAATCCAGTGAATAGATTAAATCATGTTTGTAATAATTTGATCTAATCACTGCATATTTTTTAAATGTGTATTATGACTTGTTCAACATATTAATTTCTTAATCCCAAACATAACGCGGAAATATAAAGTTTAATATCTTAGCGCATCGTACTCGAAAAACGATCTTATGAATAGCTATCCTACCTGAAATTACTTGTATACATACATACATCCCCACATACATATGCAAGAAGATAATGCACATTTGCGTAAATTTGCATTCCATTTACGTTTCACATTATCTCTTCTCTCGAATTCTCTTAATAACGTTCCACCTTTAATTCTACTCGCTCTAAACTGTATATATGTATGTATGTCGCCCCTTTGCAGCTGCACCTCTACAGCAGGTGAGCCGGATTGACAACAACATCACTACAGCGTAATTGGCGCGCGCTAAGCTACTCGCATCCAGGCTAACCTAACACTAACACTAACAGCCTAACGAGCTTTCTATGCTCGCAGCAAAATGAATGGGCCAAACGATTTGCAGCCGCACAACTTTGCCTATCTCACATTTCAACGATTCAGAATGGGCAAGCGATAAGCTCACTCTCATTAGCGTAATATAGAGGCCATACTGTACATAGATTTATGTGTAGGAGAGATGCTATAATCGCTAGCCGTGCTAGACAGGCGTGATTCAATTTTACATGATAATTGTAATGTAACTCAATTTGTACATTAAACCCAGAAATTGCTATGTATTAAAAGGACAAGTGATGCACAAACGTTCTGCGCTGAATGTATGTACATACTTTCAAGCAACAGGTTGGCTTTTATATTTTCATTAATGCCAAAATAAATATTTTGAATAGTTATGAGCTTACCCGACGCGCTTTGCTACAGCCTGCAAATTTCAGTATGCAACTCATGAGAAACTATTTTAGACACATATAAATACGCATATCACACATGATCTTTAAACGTGACACAACTCAAAATTTTTCATTTTTGAAATTATGCACTTAAAATGTAATTTTACCTTTAAGCAAAAGCTCGAGCAAATCTGTGTTATAACTTGTTGAAAAGAAAAGGTAAGGTCTCCCTGACACACACACGCCTTCGAATTGTTTTTTTTTGCGTTTGCATTTGATGCCATTGAGCGAAACGTCAAATCAAAATGTCACGCAGAACAAAAATTAGAAACTGAGTTAGCTTCATACGCACGCCGTTCATTTTCGGTTGGTCCCATACAAGTTTTATGTGCATGAGAAATTTTTGACAGTAAATTGGCGGCTTAGTAAGGATTCCATCATCTTAAAAGTTTAAGAATCCCTGTTCTATTCAGTGCGGAGACTCCTTTTTGATTCAATTATCATGTCAGTAAGCATAATTGCTGTATTTCGAAGGTTGAGTGCAAGATCGCCCTGTCTCGGCTGCGGGTTCAAAAATCCGCTACCTCTGCTGCCGATGTAATGAATTTACATATATTGAGGTAGTGCGTTTCGAATAGGGAGCTGTGATAGGAGATTTTCTAACCAATTTCTTACGTAGGGCGTTCTTCACCCATTTGCTGATGTAGGGTATTCGAGATAGAGCGATATTCCCCTCAGCCGCCGATTTGTAGCAAAGAGAATTTACAGCAGATTAACGAGGCGCCGTTACATCCACTAAAAGTTACTGTTTGGTCAGCGGTATGGGCTGGTGGAATAGTTAGTCCTGAGAAATGAGAAATGTTACTCTCAAAGGTGAGCTGTAGGCACATGATTGCCGATTATTATGGGCCATAATTGAAGGAATCTTGCCTGAAGAAGACAGCCGAGGGCAAATCAATTTATTGAAGGAAACATTTGGTGAACGCGTTATTTCAGGAAGTGGGCAAGTGAATTGGTCGCGACCTTAATCTTCTCTACATTACTTTCTCTGAGGAAACTTTGGGCGCCTTGGAAGACAGTATTATGCAAACCACTTCGTGAAAAACTGGTAGAAAATTGGAATTCCGAACCAGCCGTGGCGGCCAAAGGCTTGAAATTATATGCGTACACTGATAACATACAACTACATTTTTTAATTAAGTAAATTTCCTGTTTGAAATTAAAAGTTTAATAGCTCTGAAAAACATTAAAAATTTTTAGCTTCATACTAACTCTGCTCTACAGTTATTCAAGAAAATTCTCAAACTATCTCAAATGAAAATTATTTGAGAACAACACGAAATAAGTAGCATGTTGTTACACTAAGAAGATTTACAAGTTTTATTCGTTTTTTTTTCTTAAAATTTAACACTTCAGTTTAGGCTGAAGTCGTCGAGTAATTATCTCACTTAAAATTTTAAAGCACACTTATCTAATATCGTTTAAGGCAGTTAGAATAACATCTTTAAAAAAAATCATTCATTATATTCATAAACTAAAACCTAAATACATTAAATAAAAAAGGTGCACAAAAAGTATTATAAATTAAAACAAAAAGTAATCAACTCTTTAAAAATAGCTTAAGCCTACAAACTAAATAAAAACTATGGTTAATAAATGCTTTTTGTGTAAATTAAAACTCCCATACGCCTAATAAATACTCTTCGAAATTTATTCGAATTGTTGATTCAAATATCCGATGATATTATCGCGAATATTATCTGCGCAAGGATTTAAATCAAAAAAGACTAAATTACAACCATAGCGTTCGAAGCAACTATACCGCACAGTCCGATCGTTTGGCGAGCAGCAGCTAGCGATAGCCCAAACGCAGGCTGAGGAGGAAGATGGTGGTTTTGGTGGAGCTGCTGTGGGATATTGGGCGGGCGCATCGGTGATTACGGAATGATGAACAGATCCCTCATTAGCGAAGCTTGGTTGAGCAGTTGTTCGGCTAGGGGGTCCTGCTGCTATATAAGTGGCGAAGAATTAAAGAAAGTGTAAATTAGATATTAAGAAAGAAAATGCAGATTTAGGATAATTATTATATTATGGCACTTACTTACTGCTGGTAATGGTGAGGGCGAGGTGCGCTTAGGAAAAAGCGGTGCTGGCGCTCCAATCGTGATATTTAAACGTTGATTTGCTGCAAGTTGATGGCGGTTAGTACCAGGTGCTAAGCTATTCGTTTAAGAATAAAGTTTTATTTTAACTCACGATTTCTTGTTGGTGTATAATCACGCCAAATTACGCGGTCAGTATTGGAGGGTCCACCAAATCTTGACGCAAACTGAATGACATTAACAGGGCCGTTAAAGTAATCGCCAGGAACTGGATGTCTGAGAGGATAAAATAAAAGGCAAAAATAGATTGTTAGAAATGATCTGTATTTTATAGTGAACTAAACAAATGTGTTTTTAAAGCGCTAAGAGCTAAACTAGGGGTTAAATAGCCTCACAATCTAACATTCTATTCTATTCGTTAGCCCAGCAGAAAAATTGTAACTGCTTCTGGTGTAACTCAGTAGAAAATCAGTAACTGCTTCTCGTGTGTACAAATGAACTTTACTGGACTAGTTCAGGCCTATTTCAGGTCCATATAGGGCCTACTTACCGACTGGTTTAGGACTATTTCGAGACTAGCTCGGTGTCATTTCATAACTCTTTTTAGACCTCTCAGCTCTAGTTTTGGTCCATTTGAAACTAGTTCTGGAAATTTTTCGGATAAGTTCAGGTTTGGCTCAGGCCTATTTTGGTTTCATTTCAGGTCTAGTTTAAGACTATTTCGGGATAATGATAATATTGTGACGCTTTTATTTTTGCTAAGCGTTTGGACGAGCTTCTCCTCCATTTTGTGGTATGCGTCTTGATGTTTTTACATGAAATGAGGCACCTACAGTTTAACGCCAACTCCGAACGGCAAATGGGTTTTGCGAGAAGCTTTTTCATGGCAGAAATACACCTTGAGGTTTGCCATTGGCTGCCGAGGTAGAAAATACTTTTTCTAATATAGGGATTGTTCACAAAAATATTACAGGACAATTTCAGGACTAGCTGAGAAACATTTCGGTATTAGTTCGGCATGATTTTGGAAATAGCTCAGGAGCATTTAGTGACAAGTTCGAAATCATTTTGGGGCTTGTAAATCACCATTTCAGGATCGTTTCAAGACTTGTTTGAGATCATTTCGGGAGTATAAAGAACAATTATATTCAACTTATTCTTATTATAAAATTTAGACCTTATGGCAATATTATTCGAATTATTAATCTAAATCGTAATTATTAATATTAACCTTAATCTTACTCTTTATTTTTATCGTAATCATAATGTTAACCTAAACGTTAGTCTTTAACTTAGCCTTAATCTTAAAGTTAATCTCAATCCCAATATTAGTCTTAATCTTAGTCTTAATCTTAGTCTTAATATTCAGGCAGGATCTGCAATTCATTTCCCAGCGAATTTCAATATAAGCTCAAAGTACTTTGGTTGAAATGCACTCGGAAGTGAATTGCAGAACCTGCTTGATTAATCTTAATCATTATCATAATCTTAATCTTCAAATTAATCTTTAGTTTTAGCTTAATCTTAATCATAATCTCAACCTTAATCTCAATCTTAATCTTAATCTGAGTCTTTACCTTAATCTTATTCTTAATCCTAATTCGATCGCTATCCCATTCTCAACATTTCCTCTACCTAAATTTGGGTCTCAATAGAGATCCTAGTCACTGCTCTGCCCTAGTGGGGTCTAGAGGACGCAGATTTCAACTTTGTTGTTTTATTGTCTGCTGTACCTAGGCGCAGCAGGCGCTGATGAATTTCTAACTACATATTTAAGTGAACGTATAGGAATGAGACCAGCCCCTCAAGCAGCATCACAACGATACCACGGGTTCTAAATATTTATGCAGCCACTTCATCAGCACCTGAACCAAAGGAATCTTTGTCAAGGAATACCATTAGTAGTAGAGAATAAATCTGTCACCGAATTCTTTAATAAATCGATTTGGAGATTAACTTGCTAATGTTTTCGTTAACCCAATTCGATTAGCAAACTCAAAATTATGGCTAGTAAATATTGAAACTGCATAATATATTTGCATACATACTTACTTTTCAAAACGTTTAACTGGTGGATAACTTGGCAAGTAATAATTGGCTATATGCGCTGGTCCACTTATGCTATTGGCATTGGTGGACACCTTTCTAAAGCTATAGTATGGATTGCGTTTGCGCAGAATATGTTCCGTCTGCGAAATTGTGTCCGCATCACGACGTTGACGACGATGATGGAATTTTTTCGGTCGCTTATGGAGCACACGCTTCACTTCATCTTCGCTTTGCACCATTTTTGAATCGGCATCAGCCAAAGAGATGACTTCGACGTGCAACTTCGATGATGCAGCTTTCGATTCATCAGAAGTAACGAGCGGTGATGGCGATAATATATCGAAATAAATTTTTTCCGGTTCCAAGGGATGATATTTCTCAGCGCTTAAGTGATCACCAATGCGACGTCGCCGATGAGCTGGATCTTTATGTTTACGCTGGCGATGAGTGTTGTTCTTTTTGGGTACTGTTTTGTAGGTGAAATGGAAAAAAATTAAATGCCTTCATTGAACCGTCGCGTTCTTATTTTACGAAATTTACCAAAATCTTCGCTAACAAAGTCCTCTTTATACATAATAACCGGATGATCCTCCTTCAAAATGCCGTTCACCATTTTAGCTTGATGAAACTACACAAAGACAAAATGAAATTTTTTAATTTTGTGTTACCAAATAAAACTTATGCAGACGCATGTATGTATACTGCGGTTAATATTGGCATGCCTTTTTTATTGGGTGCATATGTATGTAGACTATGTATGTATGTTTATAACCCACCTCAATGTTATCGGCATCCCCATACTCCTCGCTTAGTGGTAGTCCATCTTCCACAGGTACGACAACATCGCTCTCCGTCTCCTTCGGACGTGAATTTACTGGCACCACAATCAACAGTAAAGCACATGCCAGAAACAAATAGCCGTGAAACTTCCGTTTACACCGGAAGTCACTGACATACGACGCAGTTATGCCACTAAACCAGGTCATCACTGTGTGCGCTGTGCGTATGAAGCTATGTATGTATGTATGTATGTATGTAAGTTTATGAGTTGCAATCTCTAGGTACTTTTCAACTTCAGTGTTTGTAAAAGGACGGAAGTGGGCGCGCGGCTAAGTTTGCATACGTACATATATAGGTGTCAAAAGTTTGTAGTTGATTATTGTATGCTGCCTCTGCAAGGAAATGTTGAAAAATAACTACATACATTAGATTACTCAATATAAGTAAACATGTTTTTAATATAGAAATAGGTTTTTTTTATAAATATGAACAATACATAAATGAAAACTATGTATGCATGTATATTTCCTGTAAATTTAAGCATAATAAATACAGTTAGCGGCCGCTGTGGTGTAGTGGTAAGCAGTGCGCGCTTCCTCTCCGCAGCACCTGGGTTCAAACACTGGTCAAAGCAACATCGCAAAAAAAAAAATATGGAAAAAAGGTTTTTTCTTAACCTCCGAGTGCATTTCTGCCATGAAAAACAGCTTCTCATACAAATACAATCGCCGTTCAGAGTCGGCGTAAAACTGTAGATCCCTCCGCTTTGTGTGACAACATCAAGGCGCACGCCACAAGTCGGAGGAAAAGCTTGGCCAAACACTAACATATTTATGTGTAAGCGCCAATATGTTATTTATATATATTAAATATAGTTAAAACTATGAACATAGGTAAGAGTAAAAAGTTGCTAAGTCGATTTTTACAAAGTTGACGGGAAAGGAAAATATAGTCGTATAGCATGTTTCTTCAAGTGTTTTGAAAGACTTGGAATACAATATTTTGCCTCTCTAAAACAAAGCAAGGCGCACTGTAAATCAGAAGGATTCGAGGTTATCTAAAAGCTTTGGTATTATTTTTGCATAACCGCATTTTCTGTGCTTCTTTTGGACTTAGCAAGGTTGCTTTTCTTTGAACTTTTGACGCTAAGGCTATCGATATACTATCTTTTTTTCAGTACATATTTATGTGCTCCACACGTCGTATACGCAATATTCTGCATGCGGACGACTTACATACATAAGTTACTCATACGCACTGACGATTGTGACAAACGAATATTAAACAAAATGAAGGCTTTTTGTCTATCCGCATTATAATGCGGCCAGCTGGGAATTTAGTTTTCCTTGAGTAATTTGTGTTTTCGTTTATTGGCGTAGTTTCAAAAACTCGTAACTTCCAGACCTTTTGAAATTCTATTTCGAAAAAAACGTTATTAGAAAGGTTTTTAACTGAATATGGTTTGGTTTCAAAATTCAAACCCGACGACGTCTCGGAAGTTGGCATACGGTATGACGAAAAACGACAAAAAAAGTTGTTCTGAGTTCTTGAAAAGGGAAAATAGTTCTGATTATTTTGACAAAAAAAAATTTTTTCAAAACTTGTGTATGCCAGATTCACGCAGCATACGACATGTGGCAAAAAGGCAAATAAAAAATTGTTCTGAGGGACTTTTCAATAGTTCTAGAGTTACTGAGAAGGAAAAAGAAAGTTCCGCAAAATAACGCGAAAAAGAACGTTTTTTTTCGAAAAAGTCGTAAAAGTTAAATTTTCAAAAAAAAATTAAAATAAAACTTAAAACTGTTCTGAGTAGCTTTCCAATAGTTTTAGAGTTCCTGAGATGGAAAAAAAAGTTCTGCAAGATTAAGCTGAACAATTTTTTTTCGAAAAAGTCTAAAAAGTTAAATTTCTGGAAAAAAATAAAAAGTAAAACTGTTCCGAGTACCTTGTCAAAAGTTCTAGAGTTCCTGAAAAGGAAAAAGAAAGTTCTGCAAAATTACGCCGAAAAAAACATATTTTTCGAAAAAGTCAAAAAAGTTTATTTATTGAAAAAAATAAAAATTAAAACTGTTCTGAGTAGCTTTTTAAAGGCTCTGGAGTTCCTGAGAAAAAAAAGAAAATTCTGCAAAATTACGCTGAAAAAAACTTTTTTTCGAAAAAGTCTGTTCTGAGAAGCCCTTCAATAGTTCTAGAGTTCCTGAAAAGGAATCGTTGAAAGTAGACTGCCTCCACTCCGTAAGAGAGAATCCACAACCTTGTAATAAAACATCTTTTGAGCAACGTTGAACTGTTAGTGCTGAACCATTTGGTGGCCGCAAATGTTATGAGAATTAAGGAATTAAGGGAAAACATTCAGCACTCAAAGCGTCGAACTGTCGCGTCATCCGGTCACAGCCGCTACTTGGCACTAAATGGCTTCTTATGTCATAAAAATGAAAATTATAATTTCATTTCAAAGGACTTCAAAATATTTTTCCTATAACTTCCACAATACTCAAGAGAAGATGCAACCTCAAGGTTCATGAGTGCGAGAACCATCTGAAGTATTCGCTAGGGGGCATGCTTAAATTTTATCTTGATTGCTGAAATTCTTTAAAGGAATTCCGGCCACACAATTACTATCACGTTTTGGCCCGCATTGCATTAAAGAAAACAGAAATGCAGTTTCCTGAGCTAATCACCTGGCTATACTAATTTTTTCTATCTACACAATCTTCTTATTCGTATGAAGTTTTGCTTAGCTTTTAACATGCAAAATGTGTTTAAAGATTTGCGAAATACTTAAAGGAAATGGGTATAAAAAGCTTTTTCCTCTTCTTTGAAATTAAAAAATTGAACTTAGGAACTTGCCACTCTAAGCTGGCGATATGTATTTGCGAAGAAAATATCAGAAAAATTAAGACAATAAATTTCTATTAAAGATGGCGTGCACAAGCATGCAAACCTCCTCTATCGAAAATCAGAGTTTGAGTTCACGAAAGCATATTCTTTAAATGTGTTTCATACAACTACATACTGCTTTCCATTTTTCCATTAGCCTTTGGCGTAGGCATTTATACACATGTAACAAGCGCAACGCCACAAAGTCAAAAGAGGCAATTCAAAGTTTTTCCATACGCAACAGAATAACTGGCGGCTGTCGCGACTAAATTAAAAAGTTACCGAAACAAATCCACTGAAAAGATGAGTAAAAACCACAGTTATTGCCACAGGTTGCTTACAGTACAAAAAAAAAAAAAATTTGACTAGCTATGGAAACATCGCGGAAGTTTATTTACATAAATTTAAAACTTTAGTTTTAAGAATAAAGTAAGAAAGTATGAAAGTATGAAATATGTGAGCTATACATATTCAAATGGCAACTCGTCTTCTTCATAAACATTCATACATATATACATATATATATATATATATATATATATATATATACCCAGCTATGTACCCATTTTGTGCATTGGCTTGGAAGTTTAAGTTAAATGAAATTCATTCGCTGCAGAAGTAATTAACTACCAACACTGCCACTACTGTGCCGCAAATTGAAGGCAACACTAAATTAACATATTTATCTGTAGAACCCAAAGTAATTTATAAATGCGCTTTTGCAGCACGCTTATGTATGTATTTGGTTTTTTGTCGCATTTACCTACTTGTTTGCGATTGCGAGCGGCGTTCTTACACATAAAATGCTACTTGCACGGAAGTGCAATTGTTCAGCTGCCACCACTTCTATTGTATGTATTCTGAATGCCTAATGTGCGAACGTATAACAAACTTGCAATACACATACATATCTGTACATGCATTCATGTAGCCGCATGTAATTGCTATACAAAAAAATATGCAAATAGCTGTGGTAAACACTACAGGCAATTTGCATAGATAAATACTTATCTAAGTACTATAAGCCTGGTAAAATGCTGCGAAAAAGCTCATCTTTTGAACTGATTAGGGAATGGGATTTGAAATACATAATATATTATAGTTAAAACATTGTCAGTTGTTAGCTGCGTAGTAAAAATTCGATCATTACAGATAAAAAATTGAAAAATTGTTTACGTTCAGTTGCAGTTGTTTTCGTTTGTGAAAAACACAAATGGTTTTTAGCTGGTTTCAAAATGTTTCGTTTTTCAGCAAAACATAAACTTTTGTTTACATCGACGAACACGCACCTACATACATATGTATACACACACAACTGTTTTCATAATATTGTTGTTACTTATATACATATATTTTTCACTTTTCTGCGCACTTCTATAAACATGGCTTTGTTGTTAGCAAATAGTTCCATGACGTTTTGAAGCCAATTTGTTTATAACATTCACTCTGGCTTCCCAAACTTGCGCACTATACTTTTATATGTACCAGTGCAAGAAATTACAAGAACAAAATTCATTTTAAGTTTTAACAATTATTCACATTCAACACTTACACTCATAAAATATGAACCCAATTAAGGACAAAACGTGTACGCGATTCGTTTTTGTAAAAAAAAAAATATTATAAAGCATTCAACGCTCGGCACGTCCAGCTGGCTGTAAATCAAGTGAAGAATTGAGAAGTCATACACCCGGCATGCTTTTATATATCACCAGCAATGAGTCAATTTTTGCTCTCATAACAATTGCTGGTAGGTATGCATTTATGTGTACACATGTAGTAGAGTAGTAGCGGAGGATCTTGTAGCAACAGTCAAGCAATAAAAAAATATATGCAAAAAAATTCGAAGTAAACAGTTTGTATCAAAAAAAAAAAACACCGCATCAATCAACAAAAGATATTATTAATTATTGCGAGAAATCAAAAAAAACACAACTAGTGTTCCATTTCTGATCATACTTTCGAAAATACATTTTTCGAGCACACGCTCTGGGTATTGCGAGTTTGTTTTTTTTTATTGCTTTATTTATTAACGAGAGTGTAAAAATGATCATTACCGATTTTGGAAAAGCTTAAAAGTTATGTATCTACTGATAATGCTTTATTCTGGCCGATAAGCCACTGCTCTTTTTCTGTCCCTCCTCCCTTCTTTGACACACGGGTTTTTCATTTAAGTTGTTCCATTCGATGTTTGCCATTTAAATGCGTCACTATTTATTATATCGCATTACGCTTCAATATTTGCATACACACACCCCGTTTCAAAATTATAAGCGCATAAAATTTTGACAAGTTTTAAGAATAAATTTTTTTGTTGTTTAATTTTAATTTTTTTTTTTTTGTATTTAAGTAGCTCTTTGATAGAAATCGTTAATCCGAATTCCAAAATGTTTGCTATGAAAAAAATCAACAAACTTTCGTAATAAAATGTGAAAATAAAAGGAAAATTATACTAAAAAAAAAATAAATTTTTATAAAAATAAATAAATTTTTATAAAAAAAAAATAAATCTTCAAAATTTAGAAAACATTCTTCT